TACAGCCCTGAATGAGGGAGGAAAGAAGGGATGAAGGCAGGCCCAAACAGCTGGGTGTGGGAGACTGGCTCAGAGAGGATTTGAGAGGGCTAGGAAGCGGAAGGATGTTATACAGCAAGTACTTTTAATCTCCATTCATCCTACCCCAGTCTTGCACTCCCACCTTCTGCTCCTTACCTTGGGTTCCTTTTTTTGATCTGTGTCTTTCCTGATCTCAAAGATTTATTTGTCCATCTTCCTATAACGGCACCAGATGAACTGTGAGGATCAAAATAAAAGCTCTTGAAGCATCCTCATGTCAATTTATGTTTTGCTTCTTCACTTAGGTCCTCTGATCTCCTCTGATCTGTATTATGTATGAGAACCTACCAGAACACTCCAAGAATTTACTCCAGAGACATTAGCTGAGGGGACTAGAAAACAGAAGTCATGATGTCCACTATCCCTTAAAGTAGACTTCTTCAGTTACTTCTTTTAATTTTGAAGTGAAATTAGTACATTTTATACTTAGAAAATCATCCAATCTCTCAGGACTGCACTGTGGCAATTTAAATTATAATTAAAATGAATGATCATCAGATAAAATTAAAAGTTTAATTCCTCAGTTGCATTAGCCATACCTCAAATGCTCACAAGCCACATGTGGCTTGCGGCTATCATATTGAACAGTGCAGATATAGACCTGATATGGTTTGGATCTGTGTCCTAGCCCAAATCTCATGTTGATCCCTTGGAATCCCCAGTTTTGGAGGTGGGACCTGGTGGGAGGTGATTGAATCATGGGGCAGATTTCTCTTTTGGTCCTAATTTCCCTCTTGGTCCTCCTGACAGTGAGTACGTTCTCATGAGATCTGGTAGTTGAAAACTGTAGCACCTCCCTGGCTCCCCTACTTCTCTGGCCATGTAAGACACGCCTGCGTCCCATTTGCTTTCTGCCATGATTGTAAGTTTCCTGATGCTTCCCAGAAGCAGAAGCTGCTGTGCTTCCTGTATAGCCTGCAGAAGCATAAGCCAGTTAAACCCTCTTTTCTTTATAAATTACCCAGTCTTAGGTATTTATCATGATGCAAGAACAGACTAATACAGAAAATTGGTACCGAGAGTGGATTACTGTTAAAAAGATACCTGAAAATGCGGGAGTGATTTTGGAACTGGGGGAGTGGGTAGAGGTTGGAAGAGTGTGGAGGGCTCAGAAGAAGATAGGAAGATGAGGAAAAGTTTGGAAATTCCCAGAGACTTGTTGAATTGTTATGCCCAAAATGCTGGTAGTGATAGGGACAATGAAGCCCAGGCGAAGGAGGGCTCAGATGGAGATGAAAAACTTATTGCGAACTAGAGTGAGGATCACTTTTGTTATGCATTAGCAAAGAACTTGAAGGCACTGTGCCCCTGCCCTAGGGATCTGTGGAACTTTGGACTTGGGAGTCATGATTTACGGTGTGTGGCCAAATTTCTGAGCAGCAAAACATTCAAGATGTAGCGTTGCTGCTTTTAACAGCCTATGCTGTCATATATATGAGCAAACAAATAACCTGAAACTGGAACTTACATTTAAAGATGAAACAGAGCCTAAAGGTTTACAAAATTTGCAGCCCAACCATGCAGTAGAAAAGCCCAGCCCATTTTCAGGGGAGGAATTCAAGCAGGCTGCAGAAATTTGCACAAGTAATGAGGATCCAAGTGATAATAGCCAAGACTATTGGAGAAAGGCCTTGAAGGCATTTCAAAGAACAAGCCCTGGCCTTAACCAGGACCCTGCTGCTCTGCACAGCCTCAAGACACTGCTTCTTGCACCCAGCCACTTCCGCTCTAGCCATTGCTAAAAGGGGCCCAGGTACAGCTCAGGCCACTGCTTCAGAGGGTGCAAGCCATAAGCCTTGGTGGCTTCCACATGGTGTTAAGCCTGTAGGTGCACAGAATTCAAGAGTTGAGGCTTGAGAGCCTCCACCTAGATTTCAGAGGATGTGTGGGAAAGCTTCAATGTCCAGACAGAAGCCTGCTGCAGGGGTGGAGTCCTCATGGAGAACTCTACAAGGAAAGTATGGAGGGGAAACGCGGGGTTTGAGCCCCCACACAGAGTCTCCACTAAGGGTACTACTTAGTGGAGCTTTGAGAAGAGGGCCATCCTCCTCCAGACCCCTGAATGACAGAACTACTAACAGAGTGCATTCTCACCCTGGAAAAGCCACGGACACTCAACACCAGCCTGTAGAGCAGCCATGGGGGCTGAACTCTGCAAAGCCACAGGGGCAGAGCCAAAGCTTTGGGAGCTGACCCCTTGTACCAGTGTGTCCTGGGTGTGAGACATGGAGTCAAAGGAGATTATTTTGGAGCTTTAATGTTTAATGACTGCTTTGCTGGGTCTCATACTTGCATGGGGCCCATAGCCCCTTTGTTTTGGCCAATTTCTCCCTTTTTGAATTGGAGTATTTATCCAATACCTATACTCCATGGTATTTTTGAAGTAACTAACTTGTTTTTTATTTTACAGGCTCATAGGCAGAAGGGACTAGCCTTGTCTTAGGTGAGACTTCGGAGTTAAGACATTTTAGTTAATGCTAAAATGAGTTAAGACTTTGGGGGACTGTTGGGAAGGGATGATTGTATTTTGCAATGTGAGAATAACGTGAGATTTGGGAGGGGCCAAGGGTGGAATGATATCATTTGGATCTGTGGCCCTGCCCAAATCTCATGTTTAATTGGAATCCCCGGTGTTAGAAGTGGGGCCTGGTGGGAGGTGATTGGATTATGGGGGCAGATTTCCCCCTTGGTGCTGTTCTTCTGATAGTGAGTTCTCATGAGATTTGATCATTTAAAAGTGTATAGTAGCTCCCCCTCCACTTCTCCAGCCATGTAAGATGTGCCTGCTTCCCCTTTGCTTTCTGCCATGATTGTAAGTTTCCCAAGGCCTCCCAGAAGCAGAAGCCACTATGCTTACCGCACAGCCTGCAGAATCATGAGCCAATTAAACTTCTTTTCTTTACAAATCACCCAGTCTCAGGTATTTCTTTACAGTAATCAAGAACAGACCAATACAGAACATTGCTATTATAGCTGAAAGTTCTACTGGACAGTGCTGTCTCAGACACCAGTATTATTGTCTTAATGCTGATGACACTTCATTGGGGGAGAACTTCTAAGGGATATTTAAAAGACACAGTTAACAATAAGACAGATATAAACCCTCCAAGCAGCTCAATCAACACTTTTTAGAAACCACTTAGTGAATAATCCTGTCTTCTATTTCCTTTTCTCTAGGGTAATCTAAGTTCCGCGGGTGAAATAGGGGCTCTAAGAATTTCCCTGGCATTGAGGGTATAGTTTCTGGGACACGTGACATCCTCTGTTCTTGTAGGCATTTGGATGTTGGTGCCATCCCTGCTGATGTCCTTGGACTAGCTGGGGTCTCTGACATGTGTCTTCTAGTCTATTTGTTGATGGCATTGACATGTCATATAGCGAAGAGACTCCATTCAGTCTGCTTGCCCTTTTAGTCACCTCTGACACTTTGCAGGGAACAAAAAAAGCTTCTGGATACTCCCGCAGACTACTCTGCATTGAGGTTCTCCTCAGACCCTTCTATCTGGTTGCCTCCAAGCTAAAGTTGCCCCACTCTCTAATTCCCTTCAAACTTCTATTTCCCACTCCATCTCTTGGATTTAACTAGTATGGTGGTCTCTGCACCCATTCTCCGGGGCCCAGAAAGCTCTGAGCGCTAGTCGCCCATTCTTAAATTTCTCCCTATCTGCTGCATGTCAAATGTTTATTTCCTTTAAGGAAACAAAACATCTCTCTTTTCTTCTTGTGTTCTTCATCCTTATATAGATGTCACAAACTCTGAAAGGTGCCAAACAGCAAATATTTTAGGCTTTGCAGGCCATACAGTCTCTGTTGCAACTACTCAGCCCACTGTACTAAGTGCAAAAGTAACTGTAGGTAATAAATGGATATGGCTGTGCTTCGGTAAAACTTAATTACAGAAAAACTTTACCTTCAAAGATTGTAGTTTGCTGACCCCTGGTTTATATTAATAGTATAAAGTTGGGATCCAGATTCTCTTTGCCCTTGGTATTTAGAAACAAGCTTTCAGAATTAAAAAAAAAAAAAAAAAAAAAGCTCCTGCCTATGAAAATCAGCTTAACCTAATATAGATTTTTCAAGTCTACTGTTAGACTCAAACACCAAGAATTTTCTTCTTTCTTCTAGGCATATTAGTGGTGTCCTGAAGAAAGGGGGCATGCAGAAAGTCTCCATGGATGTTTGAATGGTAGCAGAAAGGATACAAATAAAAGAATTAGAAGATAGTTAAAATAGTATTTCTCAATTACATCTGCAAAACAGATTAGCAATTCTTATCCAGCTGTGATTGTGAGGATTAATGAAAATCAGTGTTTCAGAAACTGTGCCTCACACATTATCAGGCATATGACAAATGTTCAGTAAATGCCCACTTTTTCCATTCTTATACCTCTAGGATCAACACTGATGACGTTCAAGCAACAGCTAGAAGACCAACTCAGTCTCAGACTTACTGAGTTGAAATGCATTTCTTTTTCCACGGTTATGAAAAAAAGCAGATTTTCCCCAAATAAAATTTTTTAAAATTGTTTGCTTTTTCTTACAGCCACATGACAGAAAGCCAGGGCCTAGATCCTAGGGGAAGGAGCCATCATGGGTCAGTTTTTAAAATGGGAGAAAAGTGTCCCCTGTAAGAAAGTACTACTCGTCCACTTTAGAGGAGAGGATACCAAACATGAAGTGGGAGGGGCTAAAATCAAATTCCACCCACTTCCTCTGTATGACTTTTTTTGGTTACAAGTGATAGAAATTTAACTCACACTAGGTTAGGTAAAGGGGGAAATATATTAGTTTGGAGTATCTAAGGCTGAACAACTAAATTATGGCTGGTCAGGAATGCGGCTGGGCTTCAGAAACAATTGGAGCCGGGCATCTGGGTGCTCTCTGTACTCTCTCCCTGTCCTTCCTTTCTGTGGCACTGGCCAGATCAGCTTCTTTCACCTAGGAGGGAAAATACCTGCTGACAGCCCCCAAGCCTCAATCCCTCCACCCTTGCCACTGGTAAGACAGATTCCTTTTTTCACTTCTGTTTTAAAAATTCTAGGGAAGGGCTCTGATTGGCCCTGCTGTAGTCATGTCTAAACCCAGCCAATGAGAGCCAGGCTGAGGGGCGGGGTCATCACTGTTACGACCCTATCCCCTTGGACCGGAGGCGGCAGGCACAGCCATCAATCATTAAGTGTCCTTCGCCTCGGCCCTTCCCCTGGGGTTGGTTCTGCACACCCTGGTCTTTTATCTCAGCACAGGCCTGGGACGGCAGTGCCTTTTAATGTTATGTATAAAGTTATTTGTTACAGTGTTGACTCAAAGCTGACACATTTCTGTTCTCAGGCAAACTGCGGTTGAGGTTTAGGTTGCCTGCCTTGGCAATCCTGGCTGTCCTCACAGAAGGGCATGTGAACCGCCAGCCTGGCTGTCTTTTTCGTTGGGTTGGCTCTGCAGTGGAGGCTGGCGGATGAGCAAGTGATGAGCCCGCCCTTGCTGGCCGTGCAGTTTGGCTCTGTCATGCTCTTGGCCATTGAATCGGCCTAATGCAGCCCTCAGTAGCCAGCCTGGTGTTCCCGGGGGCTGAGAATCTAGTGTCAACAGGGCACAATTCGATTCACATTAAAAATGGGTATTAAGCCTTTTTACTAGGGGTCTTGTCAAGAAAAACAAATCTGCCTGCTATCAAAGGCAAAGAAAATACCCCTTACCATAACAGCAGTTAACTATGTTCACTGATATCAAAGAGACTGTCTGTCCCCATGCCTTGGAGGCAGTTTTGTCAAGGTCAATTCGGCTGATCTTTTTCAATGATAACCCAAAGAGGATTAAGTTAACATCTGACCTTTAAAGAGCTTTATCTCTGGGTAACCAAGCTAATTAAAAAATTAAAAGACTACTTTTGAAAAATATTTAGACCAAAGACTAAGGAAAACATGAACACACTGCTTATAGCAGCAGGAATATCCACAGAAAATCCCCAGTGGCAAACTAGCTTTTTTATCACACTGTCGAGCTTAATGTGGGGATTCTGGAATCAAACCAGTGACTTCCAATCCTGGCTCTGCCACTTTCTAGTTTCTAGAAAGTGTTTCTAGAAACACTAGTTTCTAGTTCAGTCTAGTTTCAAACTAGACTTGGGTAAGGGTCTTGCCTTCTCTGAACTCTGTTGTATTATTTGTAAAATAGAGATAATAATAGTAATTGTCTATAAGGTTATTGCAAGGATTAAATGAGATAGTACACGTAAAGCCTTTTCATTTAGGTTAACTATAAATATTACTGTGAACATTTTCAAGTTTAAACATTTTAACAGTTTGCTTTACCAACTTGTCCCATCATGTTGACAGTTGAATGGAATCTCTTGACGAAGTGTCTGGTTCTCAGTATACTCAGAATTCAGAGAAACCTCTAGCTTCTGAAATGGCTCAGCTTTAGACCAAATGTTACTAGCACAGATATAACAGTTCTAGCACCTCAGCTGCTGCTGAACTTGATCATCTGCCCCATCACACATATGATAACTCAGTTTACTACTAAAGCCATGTTGAAGAAATAGGATTGTTAGAATAGGGATCATAATGTTGTCCAGAAAAATTTCTGGCTTTTAAGTTCTCCTATAAATACTTTCCAATTCAAGAAGATACTGTTCATTGTTAATTGTTTTCTTCCAAAGCAATGTTCCTCACTCTGGCTTGCTTTTTCTTTATTTTTCATCTTTTCTTTTCTTTCTTTCGTATCTCACTCTGTCACCCAGCCTGCAGTACAGTGATACAAAGCTCACTGCAGCTGCAGTCTCAAACAGCTGTGCTCAAGTGATCTTCCTGTCTCAGCCTCCCAAGTAGCTGGGACTACAGGTGCACACCACCAAACCGGATAATTTAAACATTTTTTTTTTAAGACATGAGGTCTTGCTATGATCCCCAGGCTGGTCTTGAAGGCCTGTCCTCAAGTATCCTCCCACCTTGGCCTCCTAAAATGCTGAGATTACAGGCATGAACCACTGCATCTGCACCTGGCCTGGTTTTCATTTCATTGGCCTGTGTGGTGGTTGGAGTTATCTTTTCAGCATGTTGACAAGTGTCATAAAGCCATAGAAGACTTTGTGATGGCCTGAAAATAAGATCATAGATTCTTCCTGGAAGAGAGTTTAGTTTACTTTCAAACTTCTCTAGCCTTTGCTACTCAAAGTCTGGTCCACAAACCAGAACTTTGACTTCACTTAGATGCTTCTTAGAATTGCAGAAGCTCTGGCCCCACAGACTTGCTCTGTCACTCAGGCTGGAGTGCAGTAGCACAATCTCAGCTCACTGCAAACTCTGCTTCCTCCCTCTGAACAATTCCAGTGTCTCAGCCTCCTGAGTAGCTGGGATTACAGGCATGTGCCACCATGCCCAGCTACTTTTTGTATTTTTAGTAGAGATGGGGTTTTGCCATGTTGGCCAGGTGGGTCTCAAATTCCTGACCTCAGATGATCTGCTTGCCTCAGCCTCCCAAAATCCTAGGATTATAGGTGTGAACCACTGTACTGGCCAGTCTGCATTTTAACAAACTTCCCAGGTGGTGCCAATGACATTAAAGTTGCAGAAGCACTGCTCAGGAGCTGCGCACTGGAATCACCTGGGGAGCTTGAAAAAACATTGATGCCCAGGTCCCACCCACCAAGAACCGCCCCCACCCACACACAACTTAACTGACATTGCGATTTTTAAAATTTCTCCAGGTTATTGTAATGCACAAGGTGAAAACTTGTGCTCCAGGGACATTATTTCCTCTTCATCCACTTATTACAATAGTTTTTCTCTTAAAGTAAAATCTTAAACTATAGTCAAGTTTCATTTCATGTCCATTTTATAGACAATGCCACACAATGTGAAGATTCACTCTGAATTTAAAAAATAACCTTTACAACTATCTTCTGAACCTTTGCCAAGGTCTCCACATCCCTCTTTTATTGTGAAGTCCAGAACTAGACACAATCCTCCAGTACAGCCCTCAACAGCACTGAACATCAGCACAAAGGACGTTTGTATCCTTCTGAATGAAAGGTACTGTTATAAATACAGTCAGAACATTTGAAGGGGGTGGGGGTTGGCTTTGATGGCCAAGCAAAAGATTTTCTCATGCCTACACTCAGTCTGGGAGTGAATGGGCCAGTTACATAAGGAGAAAATCCTCCTTCCTAGTGTTGAGCTTTCCTAATAGGAGGTCTAAATGTGCCATTATTTAACTAAATAATTAATGAGCTTTCTTGAATCTGTAATTCATAGATGAGTAAACAGATAAACTCACCTGTACCAAACTTAGAGGGAATTCAACTGATTTAATAAATTTGGCTCATGTCATGAGCATGAAAGTCATCTGAACCTTGAGCCTCAAAGACAAGTGACCTCCAAACTTGACTACTCAGCTGGGCTGCTTACTAAACATATGTAGATGTCTGAGCAAATGTATCTGTGGTTTTTAAAAAAACTAGATCAATTCTTCTCAAACTTTAATGGGGGAGGTGGTGTGGGGATGGAAGGTCCTGTTAATAATTTACCAAAAAAAATTCTAAAAATTTAGATTCCCATCAATAAGTCTGAGCAAGGCCTGAGATTTCTGCATTCCTAATGATCTCTAAAGTGATACAGTGCCGCTACTTCATGGACCACACTTTTAGTGGCAAGGCCCTAGACAATTCTGATAATCAGCAGGTTTTGGAACCAGAACTTGAGGCATCGTAAACGTTGCCTGAAATATGAAAAAGCTAATCTCCATCTCAGTATTTATCAGCAGCTCAGGGTGCATCAGTGAGTGTGTTACACAGATGAATAAATGTGGGTGGGCAAATTTAATTTCAAACAGTAGAAGAAACCTTATTGAGAATGTTTAATTATGTTCATGCTCTGCTAATACAAGAATAGAGTGGGCTCTTAAGTTCCTTTATTTCTCTAGTGATCTATTCTTTAGAGTTGACCAGCAAACACAAAGGCGGGAGGAACCGTTACTTTAAATTCATATTATTTTAGCTGATGTATCTGGAGCACGGTGATAAATTAATCATGACGTCTGGTCTGATTCACAATCATATTCTAGCCCAATTTACACTTCGAATTTGCAGAACTGAAATGCGATGTATTAAAATGGTGCACACACCACGGATTTTTCTCCTCACTGCACCCATGAAGGGAGGCGCGCTCTCCGCCTTTTCCTGTAAGCACCTGCCCGGGGCCCAAGCCCACAGTGGACGGGCCGTCCAGCTCAAACAGGGCCCAGGACATAGTGAGGAGGCCGAATTTGGCGCTCAAGACTCAGATACGGTCTTATGGGCGAAGCCTGCCTGCGAGAAGGAGTGGGAGTCGTTAAAAAGTATCCTCCTGGCTTAATGACCAAGGCGGGTTTATTCTCAAGGAAGGGGGAGCGGCGCGGCGGTGTTACTAAACATAACAGATGGCAGCTGTCTGCGGCTATATAGGGCGCGCTGACAAATCCCTCTGGATGGCCACGCGGCGCTGGGCTGCGGGGCGTGGGTGCACTGCGCGCCCAGCTCGGAGGGCGCCACCTGCGAGAGGACTTTGGGGAGCCGAGCCGCCTCCGCCCGCAAACCCGACCCGGGCCCACACGGGCTCAGGGCACCAGGCGGGGCGCACCGAGGTACAGAGGTGCAGCTCCTTGGTCCGAGGCTTCGCTAAGGTGGGGGTCGAGGCCTCTCCGCGCGTCGCTCTCTCCACCCTGCTGCCTGCCCTGCAGCTGGGAGTTCCCCCAGGGAGCTGTAAATTCACTAGACCAGCATTCACCCAGGGCCTGCGGGCGCTGTGAAAGGATAGGAGGACCCAGCTCCCCCAAACCACTTCTACAGAGCCCAAGTGTGGCTGGTGAGACACCCGACAGGCACACACTGCACCGTGATACTGAACCATGCCTGTGCGTGCATTTTGTGTGAAATGGCTCTTCACCATGATTTCCATGTGGTGCACCTTTTTTCCAAACCCCGGATTGAAACACAGTTATGAGTTCAATGGCGTTTTTCTATGATTTGGAGATTGATTCAGATGGGTGAAATCTTACTAAGTTAGTAATCTTATAAAAATCTTATATGTTGCTTTTAGAGAGACATTTAAAAAATATGTCTATTGAAAATAATAAAATTCAGTGAAATTGGACAGGACAGTGGTAGTGGCAGTTGGGGAAGCTTCCTGGAAGACAGGGCAGAAAGAGAGTTAGCTTGACAGTTGGGGCTTGGGATGGGCAAAAAAGAGGGGACTGAGAGTTCTGGGGACTGAATAACAGCATATTACTGACATTTTCAAGCTGCAAAGTTCTTTAGAAAGGTAAAGCCAGACAGACTAGTGGGACCTGTCCAAGGAGAGGGAACAGAGGAACCGTCTGCACTTTTGGGGCTATGGTCTCTGAAATGGGCTCTCACCTAGGGGTGGTGTGGTGCATTTCATGTGCTTGGCTCTCTGTACAGCAGTGTTGCAGAGTACATGGAAAAGCCTCGTCTCCCCACCCTTCAACATCTCAACCCCTTTCTCAACGTATGTCAGGGACTGAGGCTTCCTCATTTTCTCCTCAATCACCTCGCAATGCTTTTCACTGAAGGTGAGTTAGGTTGAGATTCATTCATTCATTCAACAAATGTTTAAGACCCTTCTATGTGCTAAGC